TTAGGGGTTAGGGGTTTGGGTGTAGGATTTAGCTTAGAACCGGTTTTTAAAACCAGGCGCCGGAAGGTTACTTTTTCGGAGCTTTCGGATATCATGTTCAGAGGTTTCTGGAGAGGCGTTGAGGCAGAACTGAAGGCAAAGTGTCACAGCATCTTGAATCCATTCCAAGGGTCTTCACCCCGGCGAGAGTCATCCTAGCAATCATACCGGTGAAGCTAGCAACAGAAGTTAATACCTAATCAGACTGAATAGTACGTCTTCCCTTCGTTTGTTGAGTGGGTGTGGCTCACGGACTACTGCGGCATCACCTGTCTCTGGGGGTGAGGAGCCATGCCATTTCACGAGCTACCTCATGATGCTGTGATTGTCAGCGCCGTCAACTATTTACATGTCTACGTTATGCCCTAACCTTTCTTTGTAATTGCAGGCAAACACCGCCCGGCAATTTATGGTCCAGTGCCCACCGAACGCCTCATGCTTGCACTTGTGGGCTGGCTTGAGCATTGGCTAAGGGTCTCTAGGACTCTAGGGTATAGGGCTAGTTTGCATCAAGACCCGTCAGTTCACTGTCACACGCACTGCTGCAGAAGATGTCCTTCGAGCCTTGCGGCTCAGGTGAGTCCGGGGGACACCCTCAAGGTGACCAGCCCCGATGGCTTCGATGTTCAGGCACGTGGCGAAGAGTGGTGCCATAGCTGCTTGCAACACTTGGAGCGGTCACAATCGCTTCATTCGTTTAGCGACTGTTGCCGCTAGGTTTGTCATCATCGCCATCATCGCTACCAGGGCCTTTGTCAGCACACTTTCGGCCCTCACCTTTGTCATGTCATCGCCGTCGTCTTTTTTGGTTCCAGTAGCGTCATCATCATTAGCTTCATCGGCCGAGAAGACGTCACAGTCATGAGCCTGAGTCTTCCCCTCGTGATCCCGATTTCCACCCTATGAAACGAGCCAAACTGCGAGTTTGAGCCGCATGAATACCGAGCTCCGCGTCTCTGGTGTGCAGGTAGCAGTACCACTGGGCATTGGACCCGGCCAGCAGTTTGCCGTCTCCTACTGAGTGCATAGGTCAGAACACATGAAAGGTTTCGCTTCGGGTTGTGCAAATCCCGATTCTCGTGTTGCGATGCACGAAGTTGTAGGTGGATGCACGGCAGCCAAGACCAAAGCTTTCAGAGCTTTCTGGCAGTCGTGTTTATACCGCCACTGTTTCAGGGCTCTAAGACCCTTGCGAGAGGCACGGCATGTATTCCGATTCGCCGCTGATGGCAAGTCTCCTATTGCAAAGCTCAGCTGTCGAGCATGCTGCGCCGAGCAGATTTATTGGATCTCTTGGGTATCACATTGAGACCTGGGAACCTCAACCCAAAGCCCCAAACCATGCTTCCTACATACCAGCCACATAGACGGCGAAGCGCTCCGACGGGCTTGAACACAGAACAGCCCTCCGACAATGCGATATGCGTCCGATGGTTATCGAAAAACGAGTTGCTGCAGGCGTTGCCGCACCAGAAGCCTTCCGATGCAGTCGGAGAAGATCCCACTTGAGACCATGTCTGGCAAACACTGTACAGTCCTTGTAGTCCCAATTGCTATTTGCCATGGGCATTGCTTAATCCTGTTCTTTGGGTAGGAACCCAGTGTGGTGCCAGCAGACAGTGAACTCAGAAAGCTGCTAGACCCCCTGCATCGATGGCCTCGCAATCTACATTTGTGGTTCGTCCTTAATTCCTCGGAGTCTGAGTAGCAGTGAGTTGCAAAGTTCCGAAGGAGGCCACGTCGTCTCTTTTGCCACGCACTCGCGCCTCGGTTTTATATTCAAGCATTTCGAACTGACAGTCGTAACTTATTGACCCTTCCTTGCTGCCCTTGCTTTCGGTAGTTTCCACGTGTCCTCGAGCAGCTGGTTTGAAGCTCGTGTGGTCGTGTTCAGAGCTCAGCTCCCGACGGTTGGAAAGATATCAGAGCTGAACTCGCGATGTGAATTCTTAACGGCGAATAACTGGTGTCCTTCCATGGCTTTGTGTGCTGGGTGGCATTGCTTGAGCACTGCATGATTCTAGGACTCCTACCCGACAGTTCAAAATGCTTCCAGGTTAGTTACTGCCTCGTTGAATCCAGCATCACCATGCTGGTGTACATTGGCAAGCTGCCAAACGATGACATACAAGTACGAGTAGCACTAGTAGCGCCACAAGTAGTAAGAGTACTGCGTTGTCGACGTCGTCGTAGCAGCCGTCGTCATCGTAGAATCAACAATCATAGCCATTTCCATGTGCATCATTACATGGGGGGTTCCGAAAATAGGGACCCTAATATAGTACCCTAAATAGTAGGATCCTTATTATAAGGACCCCCAAAATAAGGTACCCTAATTTTCGGAAACTCCCATGTAAGAAAACTGCAGAGACCACCCCCTGGGGAGTACCCCCTGCACGTCGGAGGTGTGTACTGGCCAGCACTTCGAAGAATGCGCTGGGCCTTTGCTTTATGGGCATGGGCCCCGATCCTTCTGCAAAAGGGCTCAGACTAGAGGAGTTCGCGAGATTCGGTTTCCGTGAAGATCAAGGCTGCGTTTTGGGAGCCTCTGTGCTCGAGCTGTGGGCGACTTCTCCGGAACGCCCATCACAGCATAGAG